GGGGTATTGGGGGGGCACTGGGAGGGGGAACTGGGAGCAGTGGGAGCGATGGGCGGGAACTGGGAGCAGGAACTGGGGGAACTGGGAGCGATGGGGCGGGAACTGGGAGCACTGGGAGCATATGGGGGCGCTATGGGGCGGAACCGGGGCGCTATGGGGCAGAATGGGAACGCTATGGGGCAGAACTGGGCGCTATGGGGCAGAACTGGGCGCTATGAAGAAACTGACGTCCCCCCGTCTCCCCCAGACCCCCCAGCATGACGTCGCCGTGGGGCTGAGCCGTGGGGCAGAGCTGTGGGGCAGAGCTGTGGGGCTGAGCTGTGGGGCAGAGCTGTGGGGCAGCCCATGTTCCCGCGGGCGCTGCGGGCGCTGCTGGAGGGGGCGCGGACCCCCCCGGGCCGGGAGGAGGAGGGGGTGGTGCTGAGCTCCTATAGGGCGAATCCCCCCAACCCCGACCCACAGCAGGTGAGCGAGTGGGGCTGGGGGGCACTGGGGGTCAATGGGTGCCACTGGGGGGCGGTGGGGGGTGACCCTGCCATGGGGTGGCACCATCGGGGCGACCCTATGGGGATTGACCCTATGGGGTGACGCCATGGGATGACCCCACGTGCTGACCCCAAAGATGACCCCATAAGATGGCCTTTGGGGTGACCCCGAAGATGATCTATAGGGACGACCCTATGGGGTGATTTCATGGGATGGTCTTATGGGATGACCCCAAAGATGACCCTAAGGGGTGACCTCATTGGGATGGCCCATTGGGATGACTCTATGGGTTGACCCCAAAGATGACCCATTGGGATGACCCTACGGGTTGACCCTATGGTGTGACCCTAAAGGTGACCCATTGGGATGACTCTATGGGGTGACTTCATGGGATGATCTCCTGGGATGACCCATTGGGATGACCATAAAGGATGATCCTATGGGTTGACCCCAAAGATGATCTATAGGGATGCCCCTAGGGGGTGACATCATGGGGATGACCCATTAGGGTGATCCTACAGGGTGATGCTATGGGATGACCCCAAAGATGACCCTATGGGTTGACATCATTGGGATGATCCATTGGGATGACCCTATGGGTTGACTTTATGGTGTGACCCCAAAGATGACCCATTGGGATGATTCTATGGGGTCACCTCGTTGGGTTGACCCTATGGGGTGATCTCATGGGATGACCTCATGGGTTGACCCTAAAGAAGATCCATAAGATGACCCTATGGGGTGATGTCATTGGGATGACCCATTGGGATGACCCTACGGGTTGACCCTATGGTGTGACCCTAAAGATGGCCCTATGGGGTGATCTCATTGGGATGACCCATTGGGGTGATCCTATGGGGTGACCCTATGGGATGACCCCAAAGGTGACCCATTGGGATGACCCTATGGGGTGACCTCATGGGATGACCCTATGGGTTGACCCCAAAGATGACCCATAGGATGACCCTATGGGGTGACCTCATGGGATGACCCTATGTGTTGACCCCAAAGATGACCCATAGGAGTGATTCTATGGGGTGACCTCATGGGATGACCCATTGGGATGACCCTACGGGGTGACCCTATGGGCTGACCCCAAATCTGACCCCACGCCGCTGCCCCCACCCCGTAGCAGACGGAGCTGCGCGAGGCCGACGCTGTGTTCTGGGCGGCCCCCCGGCGCTATGGGGCGCCCCACAGCCGCCTGCTGCGCGCCGCCCCGCTGCCCCGCCTGGTGCGGCACCTGCTGGAGAGCCGCGCGCTGGGCGACGGCGCCTTCGTCCCCGCCTTCCTCGGCACCTTCCGGGCCTTCGCGCGGCCCCACGACGTCCTGCGCCTCCTGCTGCAGCGGTGCGGCCGCGCGGGGGTCCAGGGGGTTACGTGGGGGTGGGGG